TATACGAAAAATAATAGCAATTATAAAGTCACAAAAATTTTTTAATTAAAACCAGTATAAGTTTGTAAGTAGTACAAAAAAACAATCGCTAAGTATAAGATCTTATATCAAATGTTTAAATACCAGTGCAAAAGCAAATTTTTCAAAATTAGAAATTGCTATAGTTAATTGAATTCAAAATATATGTCAAAAACAAAAAGTTTTAATATATATAATATAAAATATGTAAGATCAAATTGAGGAAGCAGCCCTGGAATGGCCACGTACACCAGAGGATAAGGTTATGTTTTTCCATCATCATTTTTAATGTGTAGTCCACCTCCTTACCTTTTATATGTACATAGATCAAGACTACCACCTTAGTGACGAGCCCTCGATTTTTCAGGTACACAAAATATGATGAGATAATGATTCTTTGTTATTATATGTAAGAAGATATAGGTTAAAGTTTTGGGAATTTTTACTTTAGGGTTTTAATTACGAGAAATCTGATATTGCAGTTCCTGAAACCCAGAACCACAATACGGATAAGGTAAAAAAGGTGAATTATGAACTTTCATTCCATCATTTTGAAAAAAGGTGGTGATTATATATGATAGTCTGGATTTAACCAATATCGTGATAAATGAAGTACTAAGATCTAATTTTTTTTTATGTAGAGTGAAGTCAAGCTAAATTTTAACAATAGAAAAGAAATAGAGGATGCGTATAAAAAAATGAAAAACAATGTATGATGGAGGTTATCTTCTGGAAGATACGTAGAAGTAATCTTGGAAAATCATTGGAATACGAACAGTAAGTATCTCACATGTTATGGCAATGTGATAACTCAACATATAACACATCTAGATGGTATCATCCATTCCTTCATTATGGACGTGAATGATAATGATGTGAAAACTCATTTTTCTGAAGAATTGCAAGAAATAAAAAGAGCATCCGACCCATTTTGACTCCTATCTCGGATGAAGTTGTCGATTACTTTGAACAGATAAATAAAAAGGTAATGGTAAATTTCCATTAGCAAAAATTTATATGATTATTTACTTTTCCAGTCGAGTTTGAGATAAATGAGAGATTTCATTAATCAATGCGATAAAAGATTAGGAAAATATTTCGATCGGTTAAAAAATCATAATATTAATTATATTTGCTATTCTGTTTATTCTATGTAAGTTTAAATCTGTTATTAAAAAAAAGTCATAAAGCCCGTGGATTTTTATTAAGGATTCGAGAACTAGAGAGTGTAAGTTTAAGACAGGAAAACCTCGAATCATGGTATAACTGCCATGTATGGTCTCCGATCGAGCTTCAGTAGTTCGGTAATGATTTGACTTTTTTGTTGCACATATTAGCTTAGCCACGACATTAAAAATTTTGTTATTCTTTAAGTACTGGTATAGCCACATCAAACAGAAAGAACATTGAAAAAAAAAACGATGTGATAAAAAAAAACTTTATCTCTGTAGTGACTGAATTCTACGATCAGTAGGCAATAAAGACAATGATGAGTTCGGAGTCGGTAAAACTGGAAGAAATTTACTGATGAATATGACACACTAAATCTAAGTTAAAATTGCTGAAGATGCTCAAGGACATGATCGTCAAATTATTGAGAAGAGTCAATTGGATATTGATAAAAGAAAACAAATACAAACCGAGGGAATAGTCCATTCTGGTGAATATTATTGATGTTAACAGCTTGATTTTATGACCCAATTAATTTTACGTTGAATAGGCTTTCCATGATGATATTATATCTGGGCAAGTCCTTGTGGATATGTATGTAGATTAAGTCGGAGAGAAATACTTGAAGTTCCGGATGATGAACGGTTTTTTCTAAGTATTATTACTACTTGCGCAGTCCTTAATTTGAAGGTATGATTTGTTATCGCCGCGTAAACTTTGTAAATTAATTATTATTTCTTATAAATCTTTACTGTTTATTAGTCATGTGTTCGTGAAACAACGAAAGCTGTTCAAAACAAAGAAATAAATAAATCATCATTCAAAAAGACAGGTTTTTTAATTCGATCTCTAGACGATGCGATTGAGGTTTCTCATTGCACAAGAACACCTAAAAAATCCAAAAAAACCTACAAATAATAGAAATCAAGAATAGAATTCCCTTTTATTGCAATAAAATAACTCATCATTTAATGATGATTATTATCACGATTATTTTTTTATTATTTTATTGATACTATACAGTACAGTATTCGTGACAAGCGCTGTCCAAACTGTAAGTCCACTACATTCCGATAATATGCATTAAATAAATAAATATTAAATAAAAAAAAAAAAAAAAATAGATAAATAAGCATTAAAAATAAATAAATGTATTAAAATTTATTATCAGTTAATTTATATTTCGAATATACAATATGCTCCGGACGCACAACGGTCTCCGTAATAAAAATTGTCCAAATTTTTTGTCACCCGTCTTCATGTAGACATAAAAACACAAACAACCTATATTAATCCTGAATGTATGTGAAACATAAACATTGAATAATTTAATTTCAGAATTAGTAGGACATATTCGGTTGATTGTGAAACATAAAATACAGTAACATGACAGAAGCTCCAAACATCAGAATTTTTTTTTTTTTTTGTAGTCGTTAATTTTATCCTTTTATGAGAGAAGAGTATAATTAAACGCGAGTTATAAATTTTTAAATTACACATTAATATATGCAAACTTTTACCAAATACAATATCTGTAAAATAGTATTAATTAGCAGTACGTTAATTAGTCAAGGCTTTGACAATAAAAAAAACAAATGCTAGCAATACTGTATTGCACAATATTTAAAAATTATTTTTTGGAAAATCAATCATTACAGAGTTTCATTTATTATGTCATTTATTTTTCTTTTGTTTATGTGCTAACGACTCGAGTCGGAATTCCTTTTCAAAAAAGCGTTTGATTTTCAAGGTTACTGCGAGTTTACTGTGACTAGCATCAAAGTACAGTAAAGCGCATACGTATTTCGTAATGTATTGTACAGTATATTGCACATTTATTTTAAGCGCTGATAAGGTAGATCCAGATTTTAGCAATAATTTAATTCTGTAGCAACAGACGCATAATCGAATTCTTTACCGTGTTAAGATGTGTGAGACCTAAACTATAACACACGAGTATTATAAATATGATAACATTGATTCTTACAACTATGCATTCTCAAACCGATTCCTTTTACTATTAATGCGCACAATGAAAAATTACGTTTAAAGGAAAGTATCACGTAAACGTAACTTTATTGTTTGTTATATATTAGTATATAGACAAAAATTAAAGAAGCACCTATTTTATTAATAGGTCCACTTTATTATTATTTACATTATGAACAAATGATGTCATACTTGATATGTACTGTAGTTTGTTATTATTCGTTTACTTTGAATCCCGTTGAATAGTAATTCCTTCTATTTATAAATTTAATTTAACATCACAGTAAATGAATGATTATTCATGTGACTCATTGTAAACACATAAATAGATAAGGGTTCCAACTCTGTCTTTTACATCCTTTTAAAACGTATAACAGTTATGACTGCAGGTCATGGTAATTGCAGGGAATGTAATAAACCCAATACCGGAAAGTATTGGTGTCATTCATGTTACTCTAAACGCCTTGAACAAGGATTCGAAAATTGGACGAGTGGTAATGAAAGGGTTGACGAACTCCTAAGAAATTCTCAGCGTAATGCGAAGCATTATAGACAAGTGATGGAATGGATACCTCCCGAAAATCTTGGGAATATCGAATATCGCGCGAAGGGAGGTTTTGGAAAGGTATATGAAGGATTTTTAACTAAAGGCTACATTTATAAATGGAATGTTGAAGAAAAGAGGTGGGAAAGAACCGGAAAAAAAAAAGTTGCTTTAAAAAAATTAAATTCCGAACAACTTAATGAAAAGTTTTTTGAAGAGGTAATGTAATCATATCATTTTCTATATAATAACAATCTGTTTACAGTACAGTATATTAAAGCTTAAATCATTAGGTTAAGCGCCACAACGAATTTTATGTTGACGACCACTCTCTTATGAGATGTTACGGAATAACGAAGGATCTCACATCAAATAAGTTTATGATAGTGACAACATTTGCCGAATTCGGCACACTTAATCAATACTTGAAAGAAAATTTCAAACGTCTCACATGGGCAGAGAAGTTTAAAATACTAAGTTCTATTACAAAGGGTGTTAGACATATCCATGAACATAATTATATTCATAAAGATCTTCATGGAAATAACATCGTGATGTATACAAAAGTTTATCCTCTAATTACTGATTTTGGAGAGTGTAAACCTGTGAATGAGAAGAAGAAGGGTAATTCATATGGTGTAACTCGATATTTGGCACCGGAAGTCTTAAAGGGTAATAATTATACGCAATCGTCTGATATATACTCACTTGGAATTATAATTAATGAAGTGGCGTCGGGACTAAGTCCGTTTGAGGAATATTCTGATTTGAGTAGAGGAAGCTTGGCTATAATAATAACTAATGGCACTCAACCTAAAATTTCAAAAAAAATACCAGATTATATTGAAAAACTTATTAAAAAATGCTGGAATAAAAATCCCAATGATAGGCCCTCGGCACAAGAGCTATACGAAGATCTTTATAAATTAAGCAAATCTCTCGAAAATGGAAATTTTAATAGTTATGATGATAAAGGAGATGAATTTAGTCGATGCATAAATAAATGTAGAGACGATGATACTAAGATTAAGAGCTTATCAACGAACGCGTACTCAAGCTCCACAGATGGTATTAATTGTAGAGATGATTCTAATAAGACTAAGAGCTTATCAACGAACGCGTACTCAATCTCCACAGATGGTATGAATTGTAAAATCGAAAAATTGTTAATAGTTAATATTTATTAAACTTTTTACCCATCCTCTATATCAGATTCCGGACAAGAATCTAAACCTTACTCAGTGGATAAGGAAGGAGTTAGTAATGTTAGTAGGTAAGGAAAGAAACCGTGTACTGTACAAATAGTCTATATACAGTATGTTGATGATGTTGCATAAATTGAAAGTAGTTACGATCATCAAAAATTTTCCAGGTCCCGGGGGTTATGAAATTTTTTTAAAAGGTACTACATATTAAACTTTTTATTTTATTACTTTTTCGTATTAAGTATAATCTAAATAACATATATTCGTATATATGTAGTGAAAGTTTTCCTAATTTTTAAAATTTTATTATTAACATTTATGCAGCGATTTTTTGATTCCGATTCTGATTTTAACATTTACTGTATATTATTTCTAGAACTAGCATTTTTAACAAACAGCCTTAAATTAATCTATCTTGTTTATGATGTTTTAAATTACTTGCGTATTAAATTTTATAAATTTATATCGACATTTAAAAAATTATTTAAATAAATAAAATTACTATTAACAAAAAATTAAATTTCAAAATTATTATATTATTATTATTATTTTATTTTATATTTATAGTATATAAGACCTTCCAGAAGAACCAATAAGGACTTATGTATTTATAATATCACTAGTCCAAATTGGGTTATTTGGCTGCTGAATTATAGCTGATTAAATCCAAATTTATTAATAAAAGTTTATACTGAAGTTTTGTTGTTTGGTCCAATTTATGCCACTCGGCA